CTCGTAGTTCCTTCTGTCTTCCGCAGGAGTAGATTCGAGGGCACTCAAAGCCCGACCGGACAGTTTACTGATCAGGATCTTCATCCAGTCAGCCTCTTCTACTCCCTGCATGTCACACTGCGTCTCAAACAGCTCCAGGTACGCATCAATGTCTTCCTGGCCGTCCTGGAAGAGTCGGAATGAGTCAAACGGTATTTTCCTCCGGCTCCCTCCATCGTGCACTGTCCGTCGGTCTCCCGCTCGTTGAGCCTCCGCCTGTCTCAGGTTGGTAGCCTCCGAGATGAGCTTGGTGATGGTATCTGAGTCAGGTGGAGTGCTATACAGGGATAGCTTCCACTGGATATCCCGCTGGAGCTCCGTGAGCTGAGCGTCCCCCTCGCCCGGAGCACTCATCCTCTCTCTGGTACGATCTCCCTCTAGGAGTTCTGCGATGAGAGACGCCTTAGTCTTGCAGCTTCCACTGATTCCTCGGGACTCAAGTAAGTCCTTCAGTGTACTTCGCTTCAGTCTGCTATATCGATCCTCCTCCGATGTCCCGGTGGTGGTCTGGATGTTCCAAGTGCAGGGAAGCATCCCACCGCTGCCACCAATTGTGAGGGACTCCCTGACACCCCGACTGAGCGCCTCCGTCAGTGATATGGCTTCCCAAATGGAACATATTCCAAACCCTGTTACCATTACCTCAAGAATCAGGCAGCACTCATTTTGAGGTAAGCAGAATGACACAAGCCTTTATTAACACAAAGCATTGGAGTTTTATAGGAAGAAGCCCCACCCCCTCCCGGTCTAGAATGAACCGGTATCATCCACTTTGTAGGAGACTGCTTTGTCCCAATACATACTTCATGGCACAGAGTCTAACAATGGGCTGATTAGTTTAACAGATAGGTGTGGATGGGGGATGGGAGGATAAACAAAGAGACATACACACAGTGCAATCCCCCACAATATGCAGCCTTCACCAGTGTTGGCAATACACAGCCTGGATTTGTCACAACGGGTCATTTGTTTTTTTGGCAGGCCAGCCGGCAGGTGTGCTGGGGATTCTTTTTGTTCAGTTTGGTGGAGGAACTCGAGTGTCCTGCACAGAGCCCTGACCTCAATCCTCCTGAAAACCTTATAGTGAAATTAGAATAGAGGTAGAGTTTATCTTTATATCAGCTTCCTGTAATTATAGGAGGACATAGATTGAGGGACAGAGGGGGGTCGGCATGTCAGTCTAATATTGTGAATATGCTTCAGGTGCTCAGAGCCGGTCTGGATAGGCAGTGACCTCAAGCCCATTGAACATCTTTGGGATGAACTAGACTTCCCATTGCAAACCCGTCTTCTCATCCAACATCAGATTCTTTTCTGTCCCACCATGACTGTCCCCTGTGTACAAAGCCAGCTCCATACAGACACGGTGTGACCAGTAAGGTGGAGGAACTCGGGTGTCCTGCACAGAGCCCTGACTTCAACCCTACTGAACACCTTTGGAATGAATCAGAACATTGATTGTGAGTCATGTCTTCTTGTCCAGCATCAGGACCTGACCTCACACATGGGACAAATTTCCACAGACACCCTCCAAATAATGGAGTTTGGGCGTTTCCAGTGCAGGTTCTGGTAATACTCCATCATACAAAGACATTGTAGACAATGGGGCTCCTCCAGCCTTGTGGTCACAGTTTGGTAAAGACCCATTTTTGTTCCACCATGACTGTCCCCTGTGTACAAAGCCAGCTCCATACAGACATGGTGGGACCGGCTTGGTGGAGGAACTCGAGTGTCCTGCACAGAGCCCTGACCTCAAGCCTACTGAACACCTTTGGGATGAATTGCAATACAGATTGTAAGACTGGTCTTCTCATCCAACATCAGTTCCTGACCTCACAAATGGGACAAATTCCCACACACTCTTTCTGGGAAGGCTTTCCACAAGATTCTGGAGTGTGTCTGTGGGAATTGTGCCCATTCAGCTAGAAAAGGCAGGTAGCGATGTTGGATGAGAAGACCTGGTTTGCAATGGCATTCCAGTTGACCCTAGAGGTGTGCAGTAGGGTTGAGGTCAGCGCTCTGTGCGAGACACCAAGCCAAACAGCCTTCAATCTTCTGGGATTACTCTCCACAAGATTTTGGAGGATGTCAGTGGGAATTTTGCCCATATGTGAGGCCAGGTTGGGTGAGAAGACCTGGCTCGCAACCGGCATCACAAAGGTGTTCAGTAGGGTTGAGGTCGGGGCTCTGTGCAGGACGATCAAGTCCCTCCACCAAACTGGTCACACCATGTCTGTATGGAGCTGGCTTTGTGCGCCTGAGCTCCTCAATGTGGCAGAGAATCCAGATACGTTTGGCCATATAGTCAGGGCCGGTGCTCCTACTAGGCAAACCGGGCAGCCGCCTAGAGCACACTGCTGCCTAGGGTGCAGCCTTGACCGGTCACCCCCCACGGCACCCCCCAGTCTATTTCAAATTGCAAAAGCCAATAGCAGGCTGGCTATTGCACCCGCCCACTGAGCAGAGGAGCGGAACGGAGAGACAACTTTCTCAGCCTGCGATTGGCTATTTCAAATTAAATTACATCCACCTTTTGCCTGCAGAAGCTGACCCGCAGGAGAATGGGGCCTCGCGGGGGGTGTGTGTGTGTGTGTGTGTGTGTGTGTGTGTGTGTGTGTGTGTGTGTGTTTTCTTGCGCTGGGGCCCTGAGATTTCTAGTTACACCTGTGCCAGCAATGTTTTTTTATTTCTATGCCCACATGAAGTAGCTCCTGCACGCATGCGTGTTAATTACGCCAACGCTGAACGACCAATCAAGCAGTTGAAGATCCTGGAAGGCGACTGAGCCGAAGATGTTAGCACCAAGTGTGTGTGTGTGTGTGTGTGTGTGTGTGTGTGTGTTTTTTTGCACTGGGGCCCTGAGATTTCTAGTTACACCTGTGCCAGCAATGTTTTTTTATTTCTATGCCCACATGAAGTAGCTCCTGCACGCATGCGTGTTAATTACGCCAACGCTGAACGACCAATCAAGCAGTTGAAGATCCTGGAAGGCGACTGAGCCGAAGATGTTAGCACCAGAGAGGGAGAAGCGCAGTGCTGGAGGGTATCACCTTGGCATGACTCCCAGAGACAGATGCATCATGGGATTTGTAGTCTCACCCCAGCTGTAGGGCTGGAGGTTCCCCACCCCTGAAATCGATGCACAGGGGACTTTCCAACTATGTAAATGTTGTCTATTTCTTTTTTAATTGTAAGTCTGAGTTTTGGTCTTTTGGGGGTGGGGCACCTACACCTGGGACTTTAGTCCACCGTCCTTTAAGGTCTTCACACCACTTGCATCAAATTCATATTGAAAGCAGATGACAGATAATGTAA